AGCAAACGACGGAAGGCAATGAGAGCAGTGAAGAGACTTCCGCCTGATCATCCAGAAAAAGGAAGAATGATAGCAGAATATCGGTCAAAGAGAAATAAATGCAGACAAATCATCACAGATGCCAAACGCAGGAATTGAGAAGATTTCATCGATGGGATCAATAGTAACCAGTCTACTACCGAACTGTGGAGTAGGGTAAACTCCCTAAGCGGAAAAAGGAGAACAAAAGGAATAGCCATCAGACATGAGAACGGGTTATCGAGAGACCCCTCGGTTGTAGCCGATAAACTTGCAGAATATTTTGCCAGCCTTTCGGCCATCAGTGGCTATAGCCAACTTTTCATCAGAAGCAATGCTGCCTCCTTAACGTCATTAGATAGAGTTCCCATTCCACAAGACGTCTCCTCTCTACCGATCAACCAACCTTTCTCCATGTTGGAGTTAAGCTTTGCCCTTGCGAACAGTAATGGTAAATCTGCTGGCCCTGCTGAAACACCTACCACACAGGGGCAAGCAGATCCTTCTTTCACTTCTGAACCAGAACTGGACCCAGGATGTTTTCCCAAAGCAATGGAGACACAGCTTGGTAGTTCCCATACCAAAGAATGGATCATCCTCGACTGATCCAAAGGACTACCGGTCTATCTTATTGACAAACTGCACTTGTAAAGTTCTGGAACGTATGGTCAACCGCAGACTTACTGACTTCCTTCAAGACAACAATCTGTTGGATTGCCGACAACATGCCTTCCGTAAAGGTTACGGAACGGGAACCTACTTTGCTTCCCTCGGTCAAGTTCTAGATGACGCCCTACAAGCCCAACAGCACGTAGACACAGCAGCTTTGGACTTGTGTAAAGCTTATAACAGGACATGGACACCCTTCGTCTTAAAACAATTATCTGAATGGGGCCTATCTGGCCACATAATTCACTTTGTCCAGAATTTCCTTAAGAACAGAACCTTCCAAGTCGGCATCGGGAATCATAGGTCTATCATCGCAAGGGAAGAGACTGGAGTCCCCCAGGGCTCTGTTCTCGCAGTCACACTGTTCCTAGTGTCTATGAACGGAGTCTTTGGGGACCTTCCCAAAGATATCTTTGTTTATGCTGACGACATCGTCCTCGTTGTTGTCGGGCATAGACCAGTTTCACTTCGGAGAAAGCTTCAAGCAGCTGTCAATGCCGTTAACAGATGGGCCAAATCTGTAGGTTTTGAGTTGTCACCGAGCAAGAGTAACTTTACACACATCTGTAACAGCCGACACCGGGCGGAGTCAAACCCTATCAAAATCGAAGGCAACACAGTGCCATACAAGACCTGCTGTCGCATTCTCGGCGTCTATCTAGACCGCCACCTCAACTTCCAAAAACATTTCAACAGGGTCCGAGAAGATTGTCAATCAAGAATACGCCTATTACGCTTGATAACGAACCGTCGGAATCACAATAACCGCGATACTGCGCTCCGAGTTTCCACGGCCATCGTAACCAGCAGACTGTTATACGGTATAGAACTCACCTGCCGATCTTCAGACGAGATGATGCAGAAACTAGGACCAACCTACAATCGCTGCATAAGAATAGTCTCTGGTTTGCTACCATCCACGCCAGCGTCGTCAGCGTGTGTCGAAGCTGGAGTGCAACCTTTCCATTACATCATAGCCATAACCACCTGCTCGAGAGCTTTGAGCTTCATGGAAAAGACATACGGAGATGAGGAGGGAGTGTTCCTCCTAAGGGAGGCTAACAAACTCCTTCAGAAGCTGGCTCATCAGGAACTCCCACCGGTAGCTGAATTAGACCGGATCGGAGTCCAAGGATGGGACTCTTCCAAACCGAAGGTCAACTGGTCTTTTCAATGTTCTTATAAAGTCGGAGAAAGTAAGGCTGGAGTTATAAGTACTTTCAATCGTATGAAAGCGACGACGTTAGCTGGTAATGATTTAATATACACCGATGGTCCCAAGGCCAATGGCAGAGTAGGTGTTGGTGTGTCAGGAAGAGATCTTGTGATTAGGCTTGCTGAAACTCCTCAAACTCACTGGAGGTTTTAAAACACTCTTGTCCTGCGAGTTTAGCCACCCCTCACCTTGAGTGAGTGGCGGCAGGAATATGGAAGAAGTAAACAAAAACTCCTCGAGAGAGAGGGAGAGTGAATTTCAGCGAGAGGATGATTTGACGTGAGGTGCGCTTTTCGGGACTCCGGATGACTTTTTTGTTCGACGCAAGAAGCTCAGAGTTCACCCAGAGTGAGAGTAAGAGCGTGTGATAGAAAACATGAACATGAATGGCAGTAAACCTCACTCTCATTTTATCCCCCTCCGCTCACAAGCTCTGAAGCTCAGTGGAATGATTTGGCAGTAGGCATTCTACTTCTCAGAAAAATGCTACGCTCGGCTCATTTCAAACTCGCGAGTGAGACTTCAGCAAGCCTGCTTGTGATACACCAGCGACTACCAAACATGTGCTCAGTCTTCTCGGCTGAGGCCATAGCTATTCATCAAGCAGCGATCAATGCAAAGGCAACTTATACTGCCATATTATCAGACTCCGCGAGTGTCCTTAAAGCCCTTGAAACGGACCGTATACGTCACCCATGGGTACAAATGATCCGGGCGACCGTGAATAGTAGCCAACGTGACTACCGGGACTGTAAACAGGGAGATCTACCTCTAGGAGTGTCTACAGAGGCGTGTGCTTCCTCTGTTGAAGCAACACGAGGGCCCTACGATCTTCTGGCCGGATCTCTAGCTTCGTGCCACTATTAAGATGTTGTCCTGGAGAGGTACGCACCGGAACTAAGGCCCATCGAAAAATGCCGGTACTTCATTCATTTCATATGAAGCAGGCACTACCGAAGCATCCCAAGGAGGTCAAATCGGATTATGACAGTGGAGTTAAGCATAAGGTGCGAGCGTACGGTTATGGTATTGAAGTTGAATGAAATAAATAAGCCAAAAGCTTACTAATGGGTTAGATTTTGTCTGAAAGTTTGAAATGGATCGGTCAGTTAGGTAATTTTCTACAGCGTTATTTCCGTGATGCAATTTGATGTGGGACACCCTTTCAACAGCAGACAAAGTCGGCCGACTAAATCCATCGACGAAAAACGATTCGCTGACTAATACACCGACTGAAATTAATTTCAAGTGGCAATAGATTTAGTCTTGGATTTGTCAATAGACTCTCTCACTAAGTTAGTCTCAGCGGCCGTGTAATGAATTTGATAGCAAAAATGCCAACCGCTAAAGGGAGGTTTGCGTATTTGCTCATTTTGTTTTGCATACGGTGGTTGTAACCTCTGCTCAAATGCACCGCAACTGTATATGTTTGTCCCTTGGAGTTTGGCAGAGTTGCCAATCCTCTGGAAATGTAACGTCGCAGCTACAAAGCAAGACCATGCTGTAGGCAGATGGGTTCGATTCCCGGTCCGGTATAGGAATTTTTCGGGTTAGAAAATTTCTCGACTTCCCTGGCCATAGAGTATGATTGTACTTGCCACACAATGCAAAAATGGTACAGGCATCGAAAGCTCTCAATTAATAACTGTGGAAGTGCATCTAAGAACACTACATTTGATAGCACGCAATAAGCTAATATGCGATGAGCAATAAGCTTGAGATGCGAAGAAGAAGACATGTTTTCATTTAATTGAAGACTGTCGTAGAATCCAAAAGGATAACGTTATCGACTGTCGTCGTAGTCGTACATGACTCGCTGCTGCAGCGGTGAAGTCCACCTAGAATCTGTTGAAGGGGATTTTTCCAAAAATGTTCGATTAGGGTTAGCGTTATCTTAACTCTAAAGATACATAATTTACATGTCACAGTTTACTTCATTTGTACTTCATTCATTTCATATCTGCCATACTTACTGTCACCGATGCGAGAGCAACAAATGTAACTGGACCAGTGAGCGAATAACAAAATTTTACACTTGTTTCGTTTCTAATTGTTAGTGCATACTCATATTACTGATGCAGCTCAGGCAAAACAAAGAGGTTGTTCTGTCTCTTTCTGTTCGATCACAAATAATCACCAAAATTGGAAAATTACAAACAACATGTGGGGTTTTAGTCATGCATCCTATCTGTTCCTACAAAGGGGTTGTTGATTATAGTCCGCGTTCCTGAACGTATCTGCCTAGTTTGAAATAATAACTAAAAGCTCGACCGCGTTACTCAGCCAAAATCCTCCTCTTATCGACAAATTCTACAACAGGTCTAGAGTCTATGTGTGAATGAAAATGATCTGCACCGTGCATAAGTTGATTCACATTTTTAGAAATTTAGATTTTTTTTAAATAAAACAAAAACAAGCACAACTTATGACCGGCATTATTTCTTGTGTAACGATGAAATGGCTACCTACTAATACCCGGAAATCAACATCATATTCAGTTTCTTTCGAATCCAGATGATTGTTCTAACGTTCTCCTCTTGCTGTATATTCTCACGTTTTTTGTTTTGTTTTGAGATAAATCACAATACTTGAACAGTTTTGAAAAAAACAAGTCGCCCGATGAAAAAATGTGCCATTCAATTCAGCAGGCAACTCTTACAACACATAATTAACTATCAAATATGATGGATAAATAATATCACAGAAACATTTGTACATTAAAGGAACACTCGTTGTGGGCCACGGTGCGCTGAATCACCAACAGTGGTCAGTGCTGCTTCCGGTCCGCTGCCAACTCTCGCGTGCGCAAACGGATGGACACGGGTGGGTGTGGGCGTAAATGTGTTTGTGTGTGTGTGTGTGAGAGAGAGAGTGTGTGCGGTGCAAAACCGGATTTCAAACACAATTATATGGAGATGTGGTATCATGTTTCGAAAAATGAGCGGAGATGATGTTTGGGTGGGGGGGGGATGGTAGTTCGAGGTCGATAGTATTTGGAAAAACTGTGCCCTCTCTAAGGCTCTCTTCTAGGCGCTTACACGTCCAACGGTAAAGAATACGAGAATGAAAAACCGATTAGAAATTGATGGCCACTTACCTCCTCGCACTTGCGCTTGCTGCCCTTGCGCTTCTCGTAGTCGGCGTACTTCCGCCAGTAGCCATAGCAGTACGGATAGTGAGCCAGGAAGGCATCGTACGCCTCCCGGGCGGCTTCGATGTCGTTCTGCGGAATGGGTGGCATGTTAGTAAGGTCAAAAATGGAAGGCCAGGAAAGTGGTTCCTAGTTTTTACCTCTTGATCAACGTATTGAAGAAGATAGGTCCAAGCGGTGAAATCCGTTGAATCATCATTGACTGCCTTCCAGTATTTGTCCAAATCTGGCAATTTCTTCTTTTCCGGCTCTGCAAAGAGGTAAGACAAAATACGAGCTGTTCATTGTTTTTTTTTTAAATAGCTTTATTAGCGAGATTTTTAGATCGTTGGCTAGTTCATCTCGTGAGCTGGTCATTGCCATAATTATGAAAGATTGCATGCGCTTCAATTTTTGTTTTGGGCGGTGTTGTTTTGATATGAATCCTTGTTCACACACAAATCTTGATAGAGTAGGGCGTAACAGCTTTTGACAGCTATGACTTCTCTCGATGATTTCTCGAAACTCAAGGCACGTCCACGCAAACCAACATAACCAACGGGAAGGGGAAGTCGTCCCCTATCAGATGGTGACGTTGATTTGAGTGAGCGAGCCTTGGCTTTCTAGAGATCATCGAGAGAAGTCATTGTTTGCTAAAGATGTTTCGCCCTAATGCCAGCTCTATCTAGAAATATATTTGTTTTTAAATCCCTTGTAGCGTAATCTTGCACTTAAGGGGAGATTTCTGAGAAAATTTGCAACCATTTGTGCCTGATAATCTTGGTGATGTGGTTGGACCTAGTGGTTGTGGCTGGCAGGTTCCAGGCTCGTAGTAAGAAGTCCAGAGGCAATTGTTGCTTGTCTGCCATGGACGGAATTGAACCAGACGTTGACTTACTGTCGGCGATCAGCTGGTTGATGTGCGTTGAACACCACCTGTCCCACTCGCTTCAGAATCACTCCTGATACCCATCTCCACGAATTGTTAGAGTGCCCCTTAACGTAGACTAGGTCACCTTTTACTGAACGATCTTGAATCTGGTTGAGCGGTCGCTTCCCGAACGGCTGGTGGACTGAGTAAGTCCAGGCTGGTCCGAATTCTACGCCCAAACATGACTTCGGACGGAGATATGCTTTGTGGTGCTGACAGGTTCGGTAGGTCAATTGAAAAGTGTCCGATGCTTCCTGAATTGATCCACGAAACGCTACCGTTGTCGCTGACTTGAGTTTCTGGCATACCGAAGCGAACGCAGGAACTTCGTAGGATTCCGATGGTTGCAGTGGCTGTTATTGACTTGGTTCCGACGATTTCCACTCACTTCGAGTACGAATCGACGCTGAGCAGAAAGTATTCTGCTTCGATAGACCCAGCGTAGTCAATGTGGACACGCTGCCATGGCCACGACAGCGGCGGTGCTTCGAGCGGACTCTTGGCTGCAACTGCACAGTGACGGGACGCTTTGACGTGCGCAGAGATATCCGAGTCGATAGACGACCAGTAGACGAAGCTACGCGTAATCGCCTTCAAGCTGCTGCTGGATTCCCGGATGACCACGATGTAGATGGTGTATGCAACGCATCCGGAAACCGATCGCTTGCAGATGTCCACGAAACGCTCGACTTGCCCGTTAGACTACGGATGGAACGAAGCAGTTGTCACGAGAGCGAGGCAGAATTGGCACTGGTTGAACTGCGTACCGTTGTCGCTGACTAGCGTTTCTGGCATACCGAACCGAGCGAAGAGACGTCGTAGGATTCCGATGGTTGCAGTGGCTGTTGTCAACTTGGTTCTGACGGCGCGTGCTTTGAGCGGACTCTTGGCTGCAACTGCACAGTGACGCTTTGACATGCGCAGCGATATCCGAGTCGATAGACCACGCAATCGTCGTCAAGCGCTGGATGCCCGGATGACAACGATAGAGATGGTGTAGGCAACGCATCCCGAAACCGATCGGAATCACTAAACGTTCCGCAAACATCACGCCCCTTTGAACCGTAGATAGCGAATCACTTCGGTCGATCCGTTCTGAAATGGCCGTCTTCAACTGTGGCAAACAATGCTAACTGCAGGGTCGAAACGGCTGGCGTGCTGTATTGTCCTGAAACTGAGACGAAGTGCGTTAACTGCTTCCAATGCAAAGGATCTTACATCGTTCTCCGACGAAGTCTTCCTCTGGCTTGACGTGTTGATCGATCACCCGGGACAGGATATCGGCGTGTCCGAATTTCGTCGTGTTCACGTAGACATTGTTGAAGTCGTAGAGCAGCAACTGTAGAGTCCAACGTTCGCCGTGTAGGCTGGGATGCCATTTTTCAACCCGAAGAAGTGGAGCGTGATCAGTTTGTAGTGTGAAGCTCCGAGCAAACAGTATCTTGTGGAGCTTAATCACAGCGAAGATGATCGCGAGCCCCTTACGGTCTGGCTGACTGTAGGCTTTCGCATCCGCTGCTACCACTATCTCGCGTTGCGGGTTGTAGTGCGTCAGAAGCAAATCAGAGGTGAGAATATGCTTGAAGGTGGAGAAGGCCTTGTCGCATTCCACTGACCAGACGAACTTCTTGTCGGTTTTGAGAAGCTACTCGGGACGAACTTTCCGTAACAATTGATCGCTCCCAGAAACGATCGAACTCCAAAGATGTCTGTCGGCGCTGACCCGTCGATGAGGTGTCCCAGGTACTTGATTTAACGCTGGCCAAAACGAGCACTTTTCCGCTTGGATGGTGAATGTGAACTCCAATGGTCCGCTTCGTTGACTCCGCCGACCAGAACATCATCGAGATACCCCGAAGCGCAGTTTAGTCCAGCGAGCATTGTATGCACAAGCTGCTGAAACGCTCCGGGTGATGCCTTAACTCCCGGTGGAAGCCGATTGTACCGATAGAGACCTCGATGTGTGTTGATGGTGAGCAACTCTCGACAACTTTCGTCCACCTCCACCTGCAAGAACACATCTGAAATTTGACTATTTGACTGAAGACCTTGCAGTTCGTCCTTCGGTAGAGGAAGTGGGTACTGATGCGGCTGCAGAGCAGCGTTTAAACCAGTGGAGTAGTCACCGCAGATACGGATTGCACCACTTGCCTTTCGAACAACGACGATTGGAGCTGCCCACTCCGAGAAATCGACCGTTTCAGGCCGGTTCAACTCCGCGTCGACAGTACCATGTGGTTTCCAGCCTCGGTCGCGGTTTCACGAATCTGCTGCTCCCTCTGTTGGTCCGCTAGAGCCGCTATCCCTTTTGCTGCTGATCGTCCGCTCTCTCCACAGTCCGTCATAAAACGAGCTTAGGTACCTCATATTTATACCTCTAGCTGTATCAAAATTCCCGAACCAATCAGATTCCGTTTACATACGGTCTATCACGCTACACGCTCACTAACTAACTATTCCACACTAACTCTATCTACTACACTTCGGTCGGCACACTGGGGATTTAACTTCCCTCAACGTGAACTTCACCTTGGTCTTCGAGCACAACCCTGGTTCATCACTGAACGCCGCTGGAAAAGCTGCTTGGAGGGAGCTGATCAATGTTGGATAGTTGCTGATTCGATAGCAGAACTCATCCATAGGCATCGACCCGAGGTTGAACGTGTCAATTAGGTTCAGTCCAAGCAGATTGAGCTGTTGTTTGACCACGAAAAATCGACCTTGACGCTTCTTCTCTTTGATTGCAACTTCACAGGAACACTGAAACTCAAGCTCCAAGGGTTTGACGCATGCTGTAGCGGCTTGAACTGTTGCAGGACTTACTGTGGGTTTTTCGATATGCTCGGAAATGACGCAGTGTCGAGTTGGAGACTGAACTCTTAGAGGAGGGAGTTAATACGACCGACATGAGACTAAACTAGACTTTATTTCACCGAGTTGCTTCGATCTCCTTCACTCCTCCTCAAGCTCGATGAGTTGCTTCGATTACTCCTCCTCAAGGTCAAGGTCAGACCAATTTTCAGGCGCATCTTCTCCATCTTGACGCGAGCCAATGGTTTTGTTAGACCATCGGCAACCATTTGTTCACTGGGGCAATAGCAAACGTCCATCAAACTATTGTTGACCAACTCCTTCACAAAAATATAGCGAGTGTCGATGTGCTTTGTTCGGTTGCTACCGCCGGCAGATTTCAGCATCGCAATACAGCTTTGGTTGTCTTCGTGTACAACTACAGGAGCCAGAATTGGTTCTCCGACGTCCTTCAGTAGCTTCATCAGCCACATCAGCTCGCGGCTGGCTTCGGAAAGCGCCACGTACTCCGCTTCGGTAGACGAAAGAGTTACGCATGGTTGTTTTTCGGGCTGCCCAACTGATTGGTCCTCCAAGACAGAAGACGAAACCGGTGTTTGATTTCCGGTCTGTCTTGTCACCAGCCCAGTCTGCATCGACGTATGCTTCCAGCGGTCCGGATGAACCTAGACGTAAGCTCCAATCCACTGTTGACTGGAGATACCGGAGCGTCCGTTTTGCTTCGGTCCAGTCTGCTTCCGTTGGTCGACTCACCTTGCGGCCCAGAATTGAGGCGCTTATGGCGATGTCGGGTCTCGTGTTGACCGCGATGTATAGAAGAGCACCCACCAGGCTCTGGAACTCGTCCTTTTTTGGGCATGGGCTCCTCCTCCTTTTGCTGTACATTCGGGTACCCGGGATCCATCGGTATCGGCGAGCTTTTCGCTTTTGATTGTCCGAACCGGTCGGCTACCTTCTGGATGTAGGTTTGTTGGTTCAGGAAAAACTGTCCGCCGGATCTTGTCACTCGGATTCCCAAATAGTGTCGCACGTCTCCAAGGCACGTAATGGTAAAGTGCTCCGCTAAATGCTTCTGGACGGTTTCGTATTCCGCTTCTGTGTTAGTGACAATCAGCATATCGTCCACATATAGTAATATGAACGTCTTCTTCTTCTTCCAGGTTTTTACGAACAGGCATGGGTCTGCTTCAGATGGCACGTAGCCCAGCTGCTTCAAGACTTCGGTGATTTGTTTTCATTCCACACCCTTCCAGCCTGCTTCAGACCGTAGAGACTTTTTTCGTAGATGCAGTACGTTGTCCTTAACCCCGTTATGGAATCCTACCGGCTGCTTCATGAAAATGGTCTCCTCCAGCTCTCCGTGTAGGTACGCCGTCTTCACGACGACGTGCTTCACCAGCATTCCTCGTCTGGCGGCGACACTCAGCAGGGTCCGACTGGCGCAAAGACCCCACGGTAGTCGGTTCCGTATTTTTGATTGAATCCTTGCGCTACCAGCCTGGCCTTATAGCGGATCAGGTTTCCGCCCTCGTCCATCTTCTTCGTGAATACCCATTTGCTGCCAATAGTCTTCTTGTTTGGCGGCTAACGGATGACATCCCATGTGGAATTCTCTTCATGCGCCTTCATCTCTTCCTCCATGGCTGCCTCCCACATGCTGCGCTCGGGGCTAGCCATTGCTTCTTCGAATGTGCGTGGCTCGTCGACATATTGCGCTGTGGTACGCTCCGATCGTCGGACTACTGGTACATCAACTTCGACGACGACGTCTTGCTCCTCCTGATAGCCAGATTTCTCAAGCTCCTCCTGCGGTTCTGTTTCCACAAACGTCTCCTCATTGACATCGTCGTAGCTGGTCTCAAACCCGAGTAGATCGGACTCATCCGATACGTCCACGCTCTCGTCCACGTTTGCTGGAATAACGGGGACCTCAGCTTTCGGTTCCTCTAGGAGTCTAAATGGATAATCAACGATACTTCCCTTCTGAGGTTCGGAGTGCAATGACAGGAACCTGCAGACCCGACTGACGGTCAGCTTGTCATTGTTCGGATCCATGAATCGGTACGCCTTGTGTTGGGAGGAATAACCAGCGAGCAGCAACTTCCGAGATTTCGCTTCTAATTTGCTTCTCTTCTCTCCAGGGATCCACACGTACGCCGGTGAACCGAACATCTGGAGGTGGCTCATGTCCGGCTTCGTGCCATACTACAGCTCGTACGGCGTTTTCTTCAACGGCTTCGTCGGCAAACGGTTTTGTAGATAGTTCGCAGTGTTAACCGCTTCCGCCCAGTATTTCAACGGCATTCGGGAGTCTAGTAGCATGCAGCGCGCCACTTCCACCAGTGAGCGGTTCTTCCGCTCCGCAACCCCGTTCTGCTGCGGAGTGTAGGCGGTGGTAAATTGCTGACGTATCCCCTGCGCTCGGCAGAACACATCCAACACGTCACTCCGAAATTCACCTCCCTGGTTGGAACGGATGATCTTTGGGGTTTTTCCAAATTCCGCCTGGGCGAACTTGATGTACTCTTGAATACGCTGGGAAACCTTGGACTTCTGCTTCAGGAAATATACGACGGTAAACCGGGTGAAGTCGTCAATCATGGTGAGAAAATAACGGCACCCACCGGGTGTCACGGTTCGCATGGGTCCACACACATCGGTGCTTGGGCTTTGGAAAAGTTGCTTCCGCTTCACGTGGGTCTTGAGCACCGAGTCCAGTCCGCCGCTCGAGCAACGTTTTGCCACCTCGTCGACCACCTTGGATTTGACCAGATCCAGCGTTAACTCGTCATAGTCCTGCTACTCGAACTTGAACTCAACACCTGCGACCGAGATGGATTTGAAGATTGTCGCAGAGGTGGTGGTTCTATGAAAATGTCATTAATGGCTTCGTCTGTTCGTTGGCAGCTTCCACTGACCATACTACGTCCGATTGGATCACATCAAGCAATGTTTCTACTCTTGACCCGTTGTTACTGAATGTAAGAAGGATTTACTTCCCCATTGGACATACGATGCCTCTTTGGCAGCGGGAAGTTCTTCGTCCGAAACGTTGTCCGTATCGTTTGGCAGATCAGCGTTCTACTTAGCTTCCTTGATTTTCCAGACCAAACTGACAGCATTTCTGACACACGGTAAGTAATAAATAGTTGTGTGATTTCATAAGACACATATCCAGAACAACATGTGAAAAGGGCATACAAGCTTTTTGTAAACAAACCTTCTTATGCCCTTTTCTCGCCACCCATATGACACCAACGCAAACCTTTAACATCACCGGGTAGAGGAAACTTTCCCCTTCCCGATGATATTGCTGGTTTGCGTGGGCGACCCTCGGTTGGTGAGAAAAGGGCCTACAAAGGTTTGTTTACAAAAAGCTTGTATGCCCTTTTCACATGTTGTTCTGGATATGAATTCCATAAGTACAACTTATGAAATAATCTCCGTAATAAAATCCCAAGCATTGAAAGACGTGAGAGCAAATCATGGAGTCATCAATCTGAAAACGGTCCAACTCCAGTCTGCTACAGTGTATATTCCTCCAAAGCAGAACAATCCAATGGAACTCAGAAAACGACACCAAAACCTTCCGTAATAAATCAAAACAAAACGCTACTTACCGACAGGGGCAGCGTCGACTTTGGTCTTCTTCTCCGGGGCCTCTCCAGATTTGTCCGCCGCTTTGTCCTCGTCCTTCTCCAGTTTACGCTTAGCCGACGGTTCCTTCTTTTCCTTCTCATCTGCTCCCTTCGGTTTCTCGACAGCTTTGGCATCGGTTTCCTTTTTCTTGGAACCCTCCTCCGCCTGTTCCGACAGCTTACGCTTCTTCTTGGCCGAATCGGGCAGCTCGTCATCGGACACATTGTCCGTATCGGCCGGAAGATCTGCTTTCTTTGCCTCCGGCAGTTCTTCGTCCGACACGTTATCCGTATCAGCTGGCAGTTCTGCTTCCTTGGCAGCCGGAAGTTCCTCGTCCGAAACGTTGTCCGTATCTTCGGGCAGATCTGCTTTTTTGGCCGCTGGCAGCTCATCATCCGAGACGTTGTCCGTGTCTTCCGGGAGATCTGCCTTCTGGGCCGCGGGCAGTTCCTCATCGGAAACATTATCCGTACCGGTCGGGAGCTCCGGGACAAGCTTCTCCGTCGATTGTGGCAGTTCATCTTCCGAAACGACTTCAGCATCGGGAGGCAACTCGGCCCGATTGGGACCAGGTAGTTCATCATCAGAAACCTCTTCCGCGTCTTGAACTTGCGGCTGCACAGGTTGCGGTAGTTCATCTTCCGATACCATTTCCGCATCGAGATCCGTATTCTTCGAATCTTCCTCAACGAACCCATTGGCCACGTTCTCAGCCAGCGCGTGATCACTGCTACCGGTCACTTCGTCGGTGTTATCACCGTTCAAATCTTCCGAAGGAGCTTCCGGTGCTTGTGGAATGGAATCATCATCGAGGGAAATTACATCTTCCACAACAGCAACAGCAGCAGCTTCAGCTGAAGGTCGCGAGGCGGAATTTTCGTCCACAACCGATGGGAGACTGTTGGCATTTTCCTCGGCTGCCAAATTCGCAATGAAGACACTTTCCTCCGGAGCGCCACCAGCTTCCTCCTTATCGGAGGACGACTTCGTGTCCACTTGGAACTCCTCGAACAAATTGGTTGAACTGTTATCATCAGTCGATTTGTGCTGTTCTTCCAACACCGGAACAATCAAATCCTGCAGCTGTTCCATGACCCTGTTAGTATCCGGTTCGTCCGATTCCACTGCGGCCTAGGAAAAATAAACCTCAATTAGACAACGATCACAAACTCCTGTTAGTAACCACAATCATTCAGCTCGATCAGTTGGCCCTTGCGAAGTCTTCCTGGACGCACAAGCCACCCGAAAGCGGCCCGCGCCTCTCAGAAGGAAACGGAACAACGCCACGCTTCCTCCAATACTCGCATTTTCCATCATCATCCAAAAACCATTAGTCATCGAAAAACAATCGGGAAAAAAAAAACACCCACCTCTTCGACGATAGCGGCGGGGATCTTCTCTTCAGGAGCCTCCTCCTCTTCCTCTGGTTCCGGTTCCGGTTGTTTTCTGTTCCTCCGGGATGACCGCGTTGGCGTCGGGGCAACCGGTTGAGGAGTTTTGCCCCTTTTGGAGCGGGTGCTCCTACGACCTGCGGAAAACATAAACCCATCAGTAAAATAAACACTAACCAACCACCTCCACCCGCTCGTAACCATGCAACAACAGCAATAAGGGAGCGAGAAGAAAAAAAAAAACAGCATACGCGACAAAAATTAATGGCGGAAGAGCAGCCGTCCCAGGGACGATTGGAAGCGATAGCTTTAAACGTTGATTTTCACGCAGGAAAACATCGCTTGCAAACGATCGGCACCATATTCGCCATCGGTGAAACGTGCTCGACAAAACGGTGATAGTTTTAGGCAGTTTATATTAGTTTTTACAAGGGAAATTACCTGTTTCTTCCGGAACAGCAACGTCTTCGTCACTTACACTGGCCATCTTTTTTTCTTTTGCTCAGTTAACCGCCGCCCGATTCGATTGATGCCTTTTTTCGCGTTGATGTGTGCTGCAGCGGCGGCCGTTGCTTTTTGACAGGTGGCTGTGCTGAATTGCTGAATGTCATTGCGGGAGCGGCGGCGGCATTAGGTCGTCTACACTGAAGAAAATGCTCACATCGCTGTTCCTCTTGAGGTTCCTCTAGCAGTTTGGAAGAACGCGGCCATTCAATCTTACCCAGTAACTAATAGCGAATTCGTTTATTATCGGGGTTGGAACCAGTTCCAACCCAGTGCGAAACCGAACTTTTTGTCAGTGCGAACCTCAACCTGAGCTGGGTTTTAAAAACAAACGATCAAACTGACGTTTGTCAGAAAACAAGCAGACCCAATCTTGATACCCGATCCAGGTTGGAACTGAATAATAAACGAATTCGCTATAAGTAAATTTGTGTTGCTACCTCTTTTTTTCTCAAGAGAAAATTGTAGCTTGCATTTCAAAATACTGGACTCAATAGTGTGGAATTGCTAATATAAGTGCGCTTTTGCGTTGCATTGTATTTCGTCTTCTGCGCATTTTTTTCGTTATGAGCCAAGGAATAAGTGCGTCAATACACCAACGCCAAGACGAGGGGGACGACTCTATCTACGTTGCAGGAAAGATTGTGTTCTGCTGTGGCTAGCCGCGTGCACACTGAATAGATAGAAAGAAGTTGATTCGCTATGAAAGTTTGACAGATAAAATTAGGGGATATTGGTTTTTCCTATGTTTCGAGGGGTGAATCGATTAGCTTGGGACCGAAGAGAGTACCAGAGCTGAGTCAAAAAGTTGAGCACGTTATTTCGGGACCTTCAAGTCTTAGAGTTACCTCTATGCTTATACCATAGAGGTAACTCTAAGACTAGAAGGTCCCGAAGAAACGAGCTCAACTTTTTGGCTCATCTCTGGTACTATCTTCGGTTTCAAGCTAATCGGTGCACCCCTCGAAACATAGGAAAATCCACGAACCCCTCATTTTATCCGTCAAACTTTCATAGCGAATCAAAACAAACATAGTATAGTATTGGAATTTATACTAGAATGGGGTACATTAATCGATTTGCTTGGGACCAATAGCACAAACGAAGTTACAGACGACTTTCTCCGAAGAAATTAATTAAAATAAGGTGGTTCTCTGTAATAGAATTTTAGACCACTTTCCGCCGCTCACCGCCAGGTTCGCTAGTATTTTTGATTTGAATTAATTCAAGTTGGTTTTGTGTGCAATGATCTGGCAACTCGCGTTCTCACTCGCGTTGACGGGGTGCTGTTTTCTCACTCATCGAAGGAAATTTTGATTAGAGTGAGAAAGTAAGGAACAGTCAGCGCGGGAACCGTGTGCGGTACTATAGGTGCGGCAGAAAGAATGTAGTCGACTCCTTCGTTCTCACGGTGTTCTTACGCATGATCCAACGTTACGTCACACTAGATTATGCATAAGAACGTCGTGATAATGAAAGAGCAAAGTTTGTATGTTTGGGAGTCTCTCGCATTCAACTCGCATTCGTCCTCGAGTTCGTGTGGAAGCCATTCAGAGCGGAGGTGGCCAGGAGCGTGGCATTCGAAGTGGAACCGTTCCGACTCCACTGGTCGTTGGATTGGGGGAAGCCTGTGAAATCGCTAGCCGTGAAATGGAGTACGATCACAAATGGATGGAGTTCCTCTCGAAACGCCTGATGGACCAAATCTTCGCATCGCTACCGAAAGTCATCCGCAATGGCGATCCAGTTCATTCTTATCCCGGATGTATCAATCTGTCGTTTGCATACGTTGAGGGTGAATCGCTGTTGATGGCGCTGAAAGACGTTGCCCTCTCGAGTGGGTCGGCTTGCACTTCGGCTTCGCTGGAACCGTCGTATGTGCTGCGTGCGATTGGTGCCGACGAAGATCTGGCTCACAGCTCGATTCGCTTTGGCATCGGACGGTTTACCACCATCGAGGAAATCGACTACATAGCTGAAAAGTGCATCAAGCACGTGACTCGACTCCGAGAGATGTCCCCGCTGTGGGAGATGGTCCAGGAAGGTATCGACATCAAGTCGATCCAGTGGTCGCAGCATTAGAGCGGACGGGTCGGGGCATATTTTAAAGAGAGATTTGATTTTGTATGTTCTGCTGTGTATGGTTGAATTCAGTGAGGGTTTTTTTTTAATTGTTAATCATTGATTGTGTTATTAACACATCCACTTTTGGTAGTAAGTAGGTATTGAGACGAGAGAAAAATAATGTATAGCTTTGCTACATATGCTATTAGAGACAGCAATAAATCTTAGACAGTGAAATCATTGTGAGTATTTCATCATTCACTTGGCGAAAAAACTTCCTATCAGCGATTGTTTGAAATAGTATAAACTTTGTTAGTTCCCGTCAAGGACGGCGTTGTTACGACTACGCTAAATTCGCAAATCTGAGGTATTCGTGGACTGCCATCTCAGATTTGCTTTGGCGCGGATTAGTTCCACTTAGGGTTAATTCAACTAAGTTTCGATTCTAATTATTTGAAGACTCCAGGAAAATCTACGTTTAGAAAGACCTTCTATTGTTTAATAAAGAAGTAAAGCAGTAAAGTTATTAATAGTTGGTTGGGCAAGCTAAAATATCATTTAAAAAAATGTGTTCAATGTCGATAAGCTTTCCGCAAAATCCGCACTTCAAAAGCTATAAAACCGCACAAAATTTGCGACACTTGTAACAGCCCTGCAGTTGGCTTCGGCGTGCCAGAGAATACCTAATCCACCTAACCGGACCTGAAGAAACGGAAAGGAGCGCGACTGGGATTAGACGGGCTAGCCTTATAAAGCTCTCTACTGACATACAATATAGCATGGTTGCAGCAACCTTATATTTCACCTATTTGTCCCTAAAGATCACTAATTTACACCCGACACCCTAGGTAGGATAATGTCATCGCAAATAACAACAATTCCCGTTGAATACATAGTGCGAAAAATGCTCTTGAATTACCCCAAACGGTCTCATCACAACCTACGCCTCGGTCAGCGTGGCCCGACCGATCGTTTTCGGCATCTTTTTATTGGTGGAATCCTCGAGCTCCTTCGGTTTGTAGTAATGCGGTGCCGCCTCCAGCAGCCACTTGCTTTCGATTTCAATCACCGACCGCATGTACTCCTTCGTCGTAAACACCAGCTCGTGGTACAGCACCCAACGAGGCAGTTCTTCGAACAGTGCCGAATTCGGATGGATCATCACCGTCTGATTGTGCTTGGCCGTTTTGTAGTGACCCCCCCTTGGAGAGCCGAGCGACGTGATAAAAGTACCGGGCTGTAATAGCCTTCCGGATGTTGGTCGTTTCCGGCAGACTGGAAACCATTTCGATTTCGACTCGCTGCATTAACCCAACCAGCTGCTCCCGGACATCGCGAGCTCGTTTCATCGAACGGAACTGAATGAAATTTTCGTAACACCACTGAGTGCTGTAGTCCGATTCGGCCCATTGGTTGTAGACCTGCAGCAAACTCAAGTGGTCCCCGTGCATGTGGTTGAAGTTCTTCCGGGCCGTATCTGCGTGGATGATTTTATCTTTCGGTCGGTAGAAGATGGCTCCATTCACCGATAGCATTGCAGCGATGGCCACCACCTCCTCGGAACATTTGTACTTTTCACTAGCAAGCAGCATTTTTGCCATCATGGGATCGACCGGAAATTCCGCCATCCGTCGTCCAAGTTTGGTCAGTTCACCGTGGTGATTCAATGCCCCTAGGGCGTAAAGTTGCTCCAATGCCAAAACCAACGTTTCATGTGGTGGAGGATCGAGGAAATCGAAATGAAGCAAATCGTTGATTCCAAGAGCTTTGAGCATTAGCACGGCATTGCCCAGGTTTATGCGCTGAATTTCCGGGACGGTGTTGTCTTCCAGCTCGTGTTTGTATGCCCAGGCTGTGTACAGACGAAAGCACTTGCCAGGGGCAACGCGCCCTGCTCGACCTGCACGTTGATTGGCAGACGCTTTCGAAATGGGCACGACCATCAGGGTCTCCATCCCGGTTCTGGAGTTAAAATTATTTTGCTTTGCAAAGCCCGGATCGATCACGTACTTTATGTTATCGATGGTTAGTGATGTCTCGGCGATGTTGGTGGCCAGTACGACTTTCCGGGCGTTCGGTGGAGTTGGATCGAAAATTTTCGCCTGCATGACCGAAGGCAGATTGGCATAAATGGGAAGGATGAGTAGTTCCTTGAGTTTGGAACCCAACCGCTTGACGCGATCCTGGAGCATCTCCTGGCAGGCTTCGATTTCCTCTTGTCCTGGAACGAAAAAAAAAAATGTAATTTTTTAACATCGCATAGAAATAGACCCACTTACCAGTTAAAAATACAAGAATGTCTCCAAGAGGCTGAGTGGCATGAATCTGTAGAACCGACACCACACATGCATCGATATAATCTGCTTCCGGTGCTTTGGTGTAGAAGACATCAACCTAGAAGAGAAAAAGTTAGATTTTACAGCAAAACACAAAGCAAGTCAAATCTAACTACGTACCGGAAAACGACAACCAGGAATACGGAATATGTTCGCATCATCGAAGAAATCCGAAAACTTTTCCGCATCCAACGTGGCACTGGAAATCAGTAGTTTCAAATCCAACCGAAACCGCGCAATGTCCTTCACCAATCCAAACAGAATGTCCGTGTGCAACGTACGCTCGTGAGCTTCATCGATAATCATCACACTATACGAAGCTAGGTCCGGTTCCGAAAGAAACTCCCTGTGCAACGTACCATCTGTCATGTATTTAATGACAGTCCGCTCGGATGTGCAATCCTCGAAACGAATACTATAACCAACTTCGTTGCCCAACTTGACGCCCATTTCCTGTGCAACACGTGCCGCCACGGACATCGCTGCCACGCGACGAGGCTGAGTACATCCAATCTTCTTGCCGTCGTTTGTAAACCCAGCTTCATAGAGATACTGTGGAATCTGTGTCGTTTTTCCCGAACCCGTTTCTCTTTCGATAATAAGAATCTGGTGT